ACTCAACTTTACTCACCTGTAATGCTTCTTCCTCTTTGTGGCATATTCCCAATGTTCTTATGATAGTTCTATATAAATTGATGTTAGGTTTCCTTCCATTAATTAAACATTTACAATGTGTATATGAGGTACAATGGACAGTCTACAGGATTAATAGGAACCTTTAGTAAATGGTTCTTCCCCTCTTGTCAAAGCATTCTCTGCTGTGAACCCAATTGTGTGTTAATACTCCAATCAGTCAAGAACTCTACTTTGGGTTCCTTCTGTGCCTCCACTTGGAGTTCAGTCATGCAGACAGGAAAATTCTAGATCTGGAGCTTGGATTTTAAGCTGATTTGTTGTAGGAATGCTTTAGCGAATGAGGAATCCCCGCCCAGTGATCCCTCGCCTGGTATGTTTCATGCAACAGTGCAAATGGTCTGCCAACCTTTATGCCATGGTCCCTGGGATGAGGTACCAGAGGGAAGCCCAAGAGAAGGGAAAGGGCTGAAGAGAATATAACATTGGGGTTGATCTCCAAACAGCCACTCAAGTGTACAACCTGACATCCATGCCCAACAGAATTAGAAGAATCAAACTGAAGTCAGGTATGTTGAAAATATTTCGGGAAGAGACCAACTCCAGATCAGCAGCCTGAATCTGCTGATAGACACTCAGCATAGGTAAGAGGTAGGTTGGTTCACATCCAACTGCAGAGACTTGAGCACTGGTGTCCAATTCAATGCGGTATTGAGGAAGTGCTGCACTGACAGTGGTGCCATCTTTAGCATGAGATATTAAATGGAGGTCCCTAATGAGTAAAAGATCCCACGATTTGATTTGAAGAAGATCAAGGGATTTCACCCAGTGCTGCAGCCAATGTTTACACTTGATGATTTTAAATGAGCAATCTGCTCATTGTGACATTTCTAACGGGAGTCTGCTGTGCGCAAGCTGCCTGTCGTATTTCCACCTTCCAATGGAGATAACTCTTCAGAAGTACCTCATTACCTGTGTGGCATTTAGGACACAGAGTCTGTGAAAGGTGTCATATAAATGCAAGCTCTTTCTTCATTTAAGCAAAGTTCGAACAGTTGCTCACCTGGCCAGTACAAACAGGACTAAAATAAAACACTCCACATCTTGTGGACCAAATTCGATTTGAAAATAAAAATGCTTTGAAAAATATTTGGCTGAAATGACTGAGCGCCCTGAAACTGGGACACATGATGTTCCATGACACTGGTCTCAGGTCTTCGTGAACTGCGAGGAACACAAATCTGCTCCAAGGGCTCACCACAGCAACAGAAATATCTCAATTACTGATGCTGCTAGGACTGGCTCCAGCTTGGATCAATACAGCAATTAGATTTTATCAACACTGAGCCCTCGGCCTGTGCATCAAATTCTTTGAGCAGACGCCAAACTTAACCGCACGACTTGAAGCTCGTGTATCTTTGAGCAGTATCGTTACTGAATTTAAGAAACACTTAGCCCAATAATGATTGTGAGCATTCCGGGTAGTAACAAAACACCAGCCTCTCAGCAATTAGCCGCCAACATTAACCCAGTTTCTTGTTCTTGTCCCTGAACTGAATGCAGGCAAAGAATCAACATTACCTACATCTGACTACTTCTGATAAAATCAGGTGTCTGTCTAAGTTATATTGGGTGTAGAGATTGTGGGTGTCCAAATTAAGTAGTAGGAGTCAGTTAGCTCAGTGGGCTGGATGGCCAATAGCATGGGTTCCGTTCGCACACCAGCTGATGTTACCTTGAAGGACTCTTCTCCTGAACATCTCCCCTTGTCTGAGGCATGGTGACCCTCTGACTAAACCACTACCAGGCGTCTCTCTTACGAGAGAGCAGACCTATGGTCCAGTAGGACTATGGTGACTTTACTGTTAATCAAGGAGTTTAAAAATGTTAAAGGACTCAGTAGTGGGGACATCCATACACATGCTACCAGGAGATATGGAGGAGAGGTTGGGGGTAAATGAGTCTGGAACTAACGGTGTGGACTTTTGAGGGGCTGTGCAATCTTCTTCTATTCTAAATGCACTGCATTGACCAGGACAAAACACGAGTGATTACAATCATTGTAATTCAGTTAACTCAACGATGTGAGCTTTGCAAATGACACTATCCTCTTTATCAACACCAGTTCCCAATCCCACGACCTGCATCGAATGAAGGAGCAGGTAGTCATTGCAAGGGAATCTCACCAACTCCAACATTGCCCTCCAAGTTATTTACAAGCATGACTAGGAACTACATTGCCATTTCCTCATTGTCACCGGGGCAAAATCCTGGCCCTACCCCCAGAACATCACTATGGGTGTACGGACGCATACGGCCTGAAGTGGTTCAAAGCGGGGCTCAACTTTCCAAGCCCAACATTGGCCTTGTCAGGAAGGCCCATATCCCAAAAATACAATGCTAAAGGTTATCATCCCAAACTGAATAAGATTCTCTGAAATTCTGTCCTCCATATTTAATATGGGTGTTTCAAACAGCATGCAAATCGGTGAAGTAGGCCATTCAGCCCCTCAAGCCTGCTCCACCATTCATTGAATCAGCTCATAATGCCCTCAATTCTATACTCCCACCATCCTCCAATAACCTTTGACTCCCTCGTGAGATAAAAATGTATCTGTCGCTGCTTTAAAACTATTCAATGTCCCTACCTCCATGATTCTCTGGAAAAGAGTGTGTTCCAAATACTCATGGACCTTCTGAGAAAAAGAAATTTTCGTCATCTACGTCTTAAATGGAAGACGCCTGATTTTTAAACTGTGTCCTTTAGTTCCACGAACCTTGAACTGAAGATAAAACCTCCATTTAACAATAAAGATAAATGGATGTCGTAGGGATACATCATTGAGCCAAAGGTACAATTTTGTGCTGTCGGTTGTGAACCAGGAAAACAGGCTTGCATAGCCTTCAAATGAACACACCATTAAACTGATGAGGCAAGCTTGGATTCATTTTGGAGCACTGAATGTCAGTACAAGTCAGCTCTGGTGAAAGGTGTAGAGAAACATCTCTTCTTGCAAATGTTGACAGATTCACTGTAATGTGCCAGCAGCATTTCATGATGGAGTCTGAATGATTGGGGAGTGTGTGAATGTAACCAATGAGAAACCAGTTTGAATTGGGTCATCCCCTACCAAACGGATTGCAGACTAAGGGCAGTAAAACTCTCTCTACAATGAGACCACTATTGTATGAATACACAGGAGGCTCACAATTGGGGTCACATTCTCTCAGCTTCTGAGGAAGCAGATAAACCCACCAGTACTCTCAATGGGTCCAAAACTCACTGAACTTTGCATCCATCTGCAAAGCAATCCCATCACTTGCCTCACCGTGCACTGCAGTCAGCAGTACAACTGAGTATCGTACTATTCAAGTATTGATTAGTAATAGTCTAACTGTAGCCCCATATCTCATTCATCGCTTATAGAAAGCACAATAAAATATTTGCACATCTAAATTCCATGATGATTTCTATTTCCATCGAGTTATTCAAATTTCCACGCAGAAATGTTCAAACCGAGCGAAGCAGTTTTGCATAGATACAATTGGTTGATTGAGTCTTGTTGCCTCAACTGAACAGAGGGGTAGAAGGATAGACTTACATTTATATAGTTCCTTTCACAACCTCAGGATGTTCTGAGGTGTTGCTTAACTGTAAATGTTTTTAAGAAAAGGTAAAGTCACCTTAGTCCCACTCTCTCATTAGAGAGAGACAACTGGTGATGAGTTTAACCGGAGAGTCAGAACACCTCATGTGAGGGGTGAGATTGAGAAGGCAGAACCTCCATGTTAACCCCAGCCAGTGTGGGAATTGAACCTGCACTGATGGGGTCCATTTGCAATACAAACCAGCCATCCAGCCAAGGACATTTATTATAAATCAGGAAAAGTAGTGCAAATTAGCAAAACAGCACAGGCTCCCAAAAGAAATGCTTTTGAAATGTGTTCGTTGTTGCAATGTAGGTAACACATCAGGCTAACTTGTGCACAGCAAGCTCCCACAGACAGTGATGTGAGAACAGTTAGATAACTGTTTGTGTGATGCTCACTGAGGATACTGCAAATTACTCTCCCGCTTTTCTTGAAATCGCAGCATGGGATCCGTTACATCCACCCAAACTGGCAGATGTGGCCTTGTTTTAACATTTCACCCAACGGAAACAGCACCTCAGACAGTGCAGCACTCCACTGGAGTTGCAACCTTGAATTTACAGGGAGGGATTGAACACTGAACCTTGTGATTCACAGCACAAATACGCTATCAACTGGGTCACGTTGACGCAGACTGGAAAGTATGCAACTTTGCAGCCCTCAAAAGATTTTTAATATGAAAAATTAATAGTTACTAATCTGCTAAAGTTCTGTTTTGTTATAAAATGTATGGAAATTCTAGGTAGCTGTGACATTGAGCAACAATAAGTGGTATCATAACTTTGCTGGATCAGAGTGCAGTCAAATCCTTAAACCGGTAAATCTCAATCAATAGCTGAGAGGCAAGGATTTCACATGGTGTGTCACTCAGCCACACAGATTAGCAGGTCCCAGATTTAATTGCAGGTCTCTGGTGTGTTAATGGGACTATGTCTGGCCCCAGAAACCCTATCTGAAAGAAACAAATAAACTATCCCTGATTACTATCCAGTGACAGTATCTCCTTCCACTCTATGGTTCAATAGCCCATTGATAAGCACTCAGTAAAACTCACACATGGACACTCAGGTATTGCAAAGTGTAGGTGAATTTCACCCACCACAAGTTGGTGTCCTCGAAAAAGGAGGAACAAAGTCCTCTGAAGAAGGGTCTAGGTCCGAAACGTCAGCCTTCTTGCTTCTCTGGTGCTGCTTGGCCTGCTGTATTCATCCAGCTCTACACCTTGTTATCTCAAAGTCCTCAAAAAGTTCATTTTTATGAAAATCCACAATTATTCATTTACAAAACTGATCAGTGCAATGCTGTGTGTGTGTGATGTTTTGCAATCTTACCAGCCTGTCCTGGGAGTAGGTCGATGCCATTTTTCTTGATCTCATTCCGACTTTGACCCTCTGGCATAACGAGCTGCCTGCTCTGGTGCAAGTTGGAGATGATAGTTGATAGATCACTCTCACGACTGCAACAGAAGAACAGAGCAGAATTAGGAAATCTGCCGATTCATTTAAAAACCCTGTCTTGTGTAAGGGGAGTCCAGAGGGATTTCATACTCCTGTGACACACGAGGTATCAGGTTGGACAAAAATGGAAATCTTTCAGATCATTCCATTCAGCACATTTATTTTTTTGTGTTCACCCTTAGTGCACAGTTTCAATATTTGCCATGTCAACAGAGATCCCAAGTAACTCAATGGAATGAATTAAACGCTGGAGTATCTTTTAACGAAGCAGATTCTAAATATTAGTAAGATGTCAAACAGTTTAATTGTTATTTCTGAATTACCAAGAATTTTGTGGCCCATTAAAATACTTTATTATGTAAAGAACTGAAACTGTCAATTTTCCATAGATGATTAATTAACAAGAAACAGCAACATTTTAAGGGGTAGGGTCTCTCAATACTCTACTTATGTAACAAAAACACTGTTTTCCAGCCTCAACAGGACAGGGCACATGATCAAACATTCAGAAGCTCCAGTAAAAGTGACTTAATCTGCCTTCACTGACAATTCATGACTGAAGATTTACTCCGGTCTGCCACATCAAATTCTACAGCTCCCCACACACTTCCAGCAGCCCTCATTCCTCACCCAATGTTCCCTGCTCCAACTGGAGGGTAGTTTTAATCTACTGTCTATCTCTGATATTCAGATAAGTTTATGTCGGGAAGTCCCCAGGCATTTGCTACATTTAAGTATTGTCCGTCTGCGGATTTTCAACACATTTTGAACACCAAACAATGCGGCTTCTCTCAAACATCCCCCGACCCACCCCTTCCCACCAGGCCAGCGTCTGCCTTCTCAAACCCTCGAGTCTGCTCCTGCGACCAACCTGAAAATCCGCCTCTCAGGTGGGATGTCTGTGCTGACCCTTCCACGTACACTCCCACTAATCTCACAAACGATCTTAAGGTGGGAATGAGGATTGAAGTAAATGCTGCACAGATTCACAGTCAAGCAATTTTGCTCTGATCCCTCCTGAGCTTGCACATTACCTGCGTTAATGCACAGTCAGTATTTTCAAGAAGTTTAAGAGATTATTTCAGAAGGAGTTACTAATCATTCCCCATTATGCTCATCAACAACTAGGCACCATGTCACAGCACAAACCAAGGAGTTGCTGTCTTACCTGCTATATCCACTGCAATCGAAACCATATGGTCTGACACTGTAAAGTGTTTTACATAATGTCAGTAGTATTGTTACGAAAAAAATAGTTTATTTCAATGATTAGTGACAGTTGAGGCAGAACGCTGTGGTTAAAGTCCCACTCAGGAAATTTGACACAACAGTCTAGGCTGACAATCTACAGCAGCACTGAAGGGATGATTGACATTTTTGGGACCAGATTCGTAGAATCCCTACAGTGGAGATTGAGGCCATTGAGCCCATCAAGTCTGTACTGACCCCCATCAAAACAGAATCCCATCCAGACTCTGACCCCCACACTTAACGTCACGTCCATTGACACTATGGGCAATTTAGCATGGCCAATCCACCCTAACCCACACATCTGTGGGAAGAAACCAGAGCACCCAGAGGGAACTCACACAGACACAGGGAGAATGTCCAAACTCCAGACAGGCAGTCATCCAAGACTGGAATCGAACCCTGGTCCCTGCTACTGCGAGGTGGCAGTGCTAACCACTGAGCCACCGTGCCAGAGTTTCAGATGATGCTTTAAAGCATGCCCTATCTGCCCACGCTGGTGGATGGAAGAGAACCCATGACCCTATTTTGAAAATGATCAAGGAAGCTACATCCAGTGCCCTCACCAAATTTTATCCCTCAAATCAACATCACAAAATCAGATGATCTGGACACCATCACGCTCCAGTTTGTGGAATCTTGATGTTCAGAGATTATCTGCTATGTTTCCTACAATACAATGGTGACTAAAGTTCAAAAATACATCATTGGTGGTAAAGTGCTTTGGGACATGGTGAGAGGCACTATATAAAATTTTTCTGAAGAAGGGTCCTGACCCGAAACATCAGCTTTCCTGCTCCTCTGATGCTGCCTGGCCTGCTGTGTTCATCCAACTCCACACCGTGTTATCTCTATATAAAATGCATGTGTTTCTTTCCTGGTTCCCTCATGTTCCTCTAGAAACCATCAAAGGGAGGTAGTAAAGGATTGAGGAAGAAAGCCAGAAATAAGTGATTAGCAGAGGTAGTGCACTGGATGAAGTTGGCATGGTGGACCAAATGCTCTCATTCCGCACCAAAATTTCTAAGATTCTATCAGAGAGAAACTGGACATTCGTGTGATCATTTTTTTTGTGTGAGGCAAGAAAAGAGCATCAGGCAAGTTGAAACGAACTATGTACTGTGATTTCCCTCCCAGAGATGTGAGCATTGATGGCATGGAAGTTGGTGACACCTGTTGTGTGACCATTGCAAGGAGGTGATTACGGGCAAAAGTTGGACACTTATGCAATGCAATGTTCCTAGGGGTAAATATCACTCACCATGCGTCTTGGTCCACCCACGTCAACGCTACGGTCAAGAAAGTGCACCAACACTCTGCTTCTTCAGAAGGCTAAGGAAATTGGGCATGTCCACAATGACTCTGACCAATTTTAATAGGTGCACCACAGAAAGCATCCTACTTGGGTGCATGACAGCTTGGTATGGCAACAATTCTGCCCAAGACTGGAAGAAATTACAGAGTTGTGAATGTAGCCCTGTCCATCCTGAAAACCAGCCTTCCTTCCGTGGAGTCTGTCTACACTTCCCACTGCCTCGGGAAAGCAGCCAACATCAAAGACCCCTCCCACCCCAGTTACACTTTCTTCCACCCTCTTCCATCGGGCAGAAGAAACAAAAGTTTGAAAACACATACCAACGAATTCAAGGATTTTTGAATGTTTTTGAAGAAGGGTCCCTGTTCCTCCGATGCTGCCTGGCCTGCTTTGTTCCTCCAGCCCCGTACTGTGTTATCTCGGACTCCAGCATCAGCAGTTCTTACTATCTCCAACAAATTCAAGAACAGCTTCTTTTCCACTGTTATCAGACTTATGAATGGATCTATCATATAGTAGAGTTGATCTTTCTCTGCACCTTCTGTGTAGCTGTAACACTATATTCTACATTCTGTTCTATTACCCTGATATACTTAGGTAAGGTATTATTTGTCTGGTTAGCACATAATGCAAAACTTTTCCCTGTATCTCTGTACATGTGACAATAATAAACGAAATGAAATCAAATGGGTCACCAACAGAATGCGCTAGAGACCCCTAAGTTTCAGGCTTTTAGTGTCCAAACAGGTGGCTCCTTATAAACAGTCCCCAGTTACACGAATGGTCAGGATAGGGTGTTCATTACATTATTTTTGTGGAGCTCGAATGATTGCTGTTGTTGCTGCCTCCTTCAGTCCACACAATTTAAATTGGAGTCCGTGTTCTCATCTTCAGGGCATGGAGCACAATTGTGTCACCTGGTAATGATACCTGCTATACTGGTAAAGATACATACAGGACCTGTGCTTTAATTTTTGTTTAAATCACTTGTGGGACATAGGCATTGCTGGTTGTGCCAGCATATATTGCCTGTCCCTAGTTGCCCTTGAGAAGGTTGTGGTGAGCTGCTTTCTTGAACCGCTGCAGTCTACATGCTGTATAGACATGCCCTTTGTGATTGTAACACAATGGTCCGAGGTTGAATCCTATTCACCAATGAGCTGCCAGGGAAATCCAGTAGGCATCATTTAACCCATGTCAAAGAGAGCCAATAGCCAACATCATTTCTGCCTCATGCCTGAAGGCCAATTGGTGAAGTGCAGAACAAGAATCAATTTTCAAGCCCTTAATAAGCATTTATTTGCAAGCAGTATTTTATAAGCACGTACATCCTCACGCAGCAACCATACTTCCTGCCCATTCCTATTTATAGGGTCACCATTGAATCCCCAGTTAGTCCTCACTACCTGCATAGAACTGAACACAATTAATATACAATTAACACCTCAGGTCTACCATACCAGCACAAGGATCATACAACCTGTTTTATCTCCTGATCACACCTCCCATCACTCCCTCATTGCTCTGCTAATCACAGTTCGTGAACAAATTTAGAATTTAATGAAATGTAGCACTGGGGAACTGCAAAGTCTTACAATTAAAATAGTTCATTGCATCAAATCAAGACGCCAGCTCACAGTTCTTCCAAGGTAATAGAATCCCTGCTGTGGGGAAACACACCATTTGGCCTATCAAATCCACCCCAACTCTCCAATAAAAATCCTACCCAGACCCACCTATCCCTGTAACCCTGCATTTCCCATGGCTAATCCATCTAGCTTGCAATTTAGCCTGGCCAATCCACCTAAACTGCACATTTTCAGACTGTGGGAGCAAACCCACACAAACACAAGGAGAATGTGCAAACTTCATGCAGTGACCTGAGGGTGGACCATGAGGCAGCAGTGTTAACCACTGAGCCACCATGCCATCCTCATTTCAAATGATGAAGCGTCATTTTCTGATGAAGGGTCTAGGCCCGAAACGTAAGCCTTTCTGCTCCTATGATGCTGCTTAGCCTGCTGTGTTCATCCAGCTCTGCACCTTGTTGCCATGACTGTAAAGTTCTCTTTTGGTTGTCCCATGGTGTGTTGGCAATAAATGACACCACTCTCTCTCTGCCCAAATTGCAATTTGAATTTTTCTTCAGTACATAATCCTCACTTGGCATTATTTACGTTTGTTTACTTCAAACAAATTGATAACTCCATCTTTCTTGGAACAAAAACACAGCTTTCAATTATCAGAGGTTGGTAGTAAATAAAACATTAGGGCCTAGTGCTGGAAAATGGAACTAGAGCAAGTAATAATACATTCTTGGCAGTACACACTCAATGGGCCAAAGGGCCTCTTCTGCACAGTAAGATTCTACAATTTAATTAAACTTACCAGAGCCCTTTACGGTAGTCCGCCTATACCTTTGCAAAAGGAAAATGT